CATAACTACTGGCTACCTAGCCACAAACCGTATTCTTGTTTGGGTGCAGTCACACCATACCCATCTCGTGTGACACACACCACTGTTACCAGGGTACGTGTAACCCTGTTACATCGTCATTGCTCACAATTGTCCGGAACGTCCTGGTCGAGCAAACAATCAAGACAAACATCGCTCAAGAAGTCTACATGTTTTTTTATATTAGCAACATTAACCTGCTTTCCGCCTCCATGTCGTACACTTCAAAGTTCTCAGGTTGCAGTTCGAGCGTTGTCTAGCCAACCAGATACGAGGAGTAAGTCGGTGAGAGGTCATTTATCGCACTACCTCCCAGAAAAATAAAAAAATGATTGATTTCTCTTCTAACCAAGATGTCAGAATAACAGAATATTTGGTAATTAAAAAACGTTAACTCGAATATTCGGCGGCTCTTTTGAAAAGCTCGATTCTCTAGAAACATCATTTCTGTTTCGATTGGTTTCTCTGGAATCCAATACGATACGGTATTTCCCTACCCCTTAATTTTGAAACTAGTAATACTTTTCTTAGCCTGAATTAGAAATTTTAGATGCGATCATATTAGTATTATAGTGAGTCTAATTTCCAATCTCAATAATCGTTGGGCGTAACGGTTGAAGCACAACGACGAACGGACGTCTAACCCTTCACATGCACAACGTCTGCCTCTGAGTATCGATTGCATCGCTTTAAAAGCTTATCCTCTCTTCATTGCGCAACCTGCCGCATTTTAACGAGAGACCGCGCAAAGCGTTCCCGATCAGCATAGCATCGGGATGGTTCCTAAGGGCTCCTCAGCGCCAGCGACTGCTCCGAGACTGCAAACAAATAAGTTGCGCTTTTATCATTTCAATGATGATATGTGTGACGTCGAGAGCTCAATCATTTCGCATATAGACGCTTCTGGTGAGAAGAAGCGTCAGCTGTTTTGGCGCAATGTCGTCAAGCAGTTTAATTTTACAGATCAATTGGAGCGAGAACTGCTACTTTCACTAACTGGAGGCATTTGCTGGATGCAAATGCGCATGCTGCCCAAGGATTTTATGCTCCGCCACCGCGAAATATATTATTTAATATCCACTTTCGAGTACGACCACTCGAGCGCTATCGGACGTGACGTCACTCGCACTTTTAGCATATTTGAACGCAGCCACCAACATCAACTCGCTGCACATCAGAATGCACTTTTTCGAGTACTGAACGCCATTGCAAAGGCTGAAAATGTTTACTGTCAAGGCATGAATTTTATTGCTGCTCTATTCCTTGTGGAAGGCTTATCAGAGGCGGATGCCTATGCACTCTTTCTCTACATCCTAAAAAAGCGTCACCTTGCGGGGATTTACCATCGCAGCTCCACTTTTTTGGACAAGTATCTTCAGCATTTTGAACAGATGTTCATTCAAAATTTGCCTGAGCTGTACGCTCATCTGCTCGCACAAGGTTTTGTTGTTTCTATGTATGGTGTCGAATGGTTTACAACACTTTTTTCCCTGTCAACCAAGACTGACCTTGCATGCGCCATATTTGATCTTTTTTTCGCTGGACTACATGATATTTTTTTACGCGCAGGATTAGCAATACTTAAGCTGCTGGAAGCCAAGCTTATGTGTATGACATTTGAAGACTATTTGCGAGGGTTTAAACAGCTCGTACGCCAGCTTGACCCATATGCGGTGATCCTACAAGCTCTTACATTTCGACCAAACTCTAATATGAATTGTGAGGACACCATCTCGCACGTTTCTCGCGAACATTTTATCAAGACTTCTGGTGCTGTCGCTCCTTCATGCAGCTACGCAAGGACGTCAAGCAGCGACAGCAGCTCAGCAGATAGCGACGACGAATTGGTCTCGTCGATTGGTGGATTTGGCTTGCACCGAACGTTGCCGCCAACGATGGCAGATGCCATTCGTGCAGGAAGAGGGTCTCTTGTGTGCCAGTTGTGGGAGGCGCACGTCGTCTTCCGTGACAACAGCATTCTTGCTAGTGTCATTTTGGCAAATGAGATTCTTCACTATGCGATTTGGCATGGGCGTGTGTCAATTGCCTGTCTCGCGATCGAACGTTGTAATGCCAACGTTGACAACCGCGATGACGCTGGTCTGACGCCACTACATTTTAGTGTCATACGAAATCAACCCGACATCATACGTCTACTCCTTGTCCACGGAGCTCGTATGCAGGAAACCAGGATGCAGAGACTTTCACCGCTGGAGTTAGCACATCGCTGGAAGCGCCGTGACACGACGGCAGCACGACTTGTGCTAGAGAAAGATGAGGTATGTCTGTATTGCAATACGAAGTTTGACGTGCTGGCCCTTGAGGCCGCTGTTTGCGGTAAATGCGAGTTTCGCTTTTGCTGCAAACCAAAGCACAATCTATGCATATTCAAGCATCAGTGCTCGAAAGCTGGTACTGGTCGAGATGATGGTTGTAATAATGATCGTCGGCTCTCAGAACCATTGATGGCGATGTCGAATACTCAGGATGAAGCTTTCGGGAGTGATAGTGAAGAGGAATCAGCGCTCGATTTTAAAATAGGCTATGATCGATCTAGAGGGTCAAGCACGTCGACTGCAACATCTACTTCGGCTTCTTGTCGAGTTGGAGGCAGCGCATCGCTGAGCCGAAGTATGTCATTGTCATCCTCGCTTGACCTTTCGAATTCTCAAGTGCTCATTGGCTCATCGCCTGCGATGTCGTGGCTTGATTCACCCCGCTTTGTTGACAATTATCCAAATGCTGCCAATATATCACAGAGCGACAATACTGGAATGGTACATGGTGGCTCAGTACTTCGACCGAAGTGGCATTCAGATACACGCGCTTTGCTTGAATTTCCCGATAGACCGGATTGGTACTGCAATGCCCGCGAGTGTCACTTTGTCTTTGCAATATTTTCCCAAGCCGTCAAGTGCGTACGCTGTGAAGGATACTACTGCTCGAAACATGTTAATTGGAGATTCAAGCACTGCTTCAAGTGTCAACGAGACGTGGTCTGCACCAACAACAAAGAATGCAAGCATCTTCTACTGAATATCTCATGACAAAAGTAATTGCTCCTGTGTAGACTTTACACGACAGCAGCTCCATCAACGACTCGCATCCTCTTACTTGCCATGATGAGTATTTAGCCATTAAGATCTTTTCTGCTCATTATTTATCCTGTATACAAAGGTGTGCCCACTCATTGTCAAATATTATCGCGTCTTTGCTGTCTCGATGCTCGATGTTTGTATAAACTTGCATGATATTTGTTGCACTCTTATCGAATTGGTACTTTTTCGACCACAAAGCATACAGATATGCTGAGCTTTTCACAATATCCTGGACGTGCTGACATCTATCTACCTGTACTCTAATTGTATTTTCAAACAAGTTGAGTCGCTGACATTGGGAAGTAAACCAGAAAAAAAATCTTTATTCGTACACGACGAGCGATTGCTCGTCAATTTCCAAGTCACTGCTGTCACTACTGCCGATGCTGCAAGACCTAAGACGCTTAGCCTGACCAGACTTTTCCGCTGCTGCAACCGCGCTAGCTCGCACACAAGGCTCGCCATTAGATAGTACTTCCTCAAAATCGCTACTACTATTGTCATCAGCCTCGTGGATGGTGCGAAACGAATTAAATTTGGCTGGATTATGTTTAGCAAGCCCAGGGACCGCCACACCTTCGTCAACACATCCACACATTGAATCACGACGAAGTCTATTATTTAGCTGCTCATCTTCACTCCCATGATCAAATTGTCGTTGTATTTTGTTGCGCTTATAGTGCAAGCGATCTTCACTTTGGCCCTCTTCAGAACGCGCGTCTTTTAAACGTTGTAGTTCTTGCTCATAATGCGCGACATTCGTTCTTAAGTTCGACATACACTTTTTCAGGTCAGGAAACATGATAAACATGAGATCCCAGAAAGGTGACACGATCTTTTGTGCAAAAAAAAGTTGGCCTTCAACCATCTTTAAGGGGTCGTCAATATTTCTATATGAGATAGGAATATTTTCAGTCTGCTCCATCAAAGCCTGGTAAGCGAATTCTTTTGAGATCATATTACTCCACTTTAAAGCAACGGGCTTTGGAAACACCTGGCCTGACAAATCGCTAGCATGCACAATTGTCTTGACTAAAAACAGTCGCTCGTCCACCGTTCCATTGAACACCCAGCCGCCCGTCGTCAATCGCCCAGATGTCGCGCGACCAGGGCAATGCTTAGAACCTGTAGTCGAGTGGTAAGTATTTATTATAGAATTCATCGTACTTCCAGAAGGTGTAATCGCCACAGCTCCTTCCGGCAGCATGACGGCATCGCGCAACACATTCAAAATCACTGGTCCTTGCTTCTCTTCATCAACTTCGCTACCTGCTCTAATAATTGCGGAGACACTCGCGATATCGCGCTTTGCTGATGAAATTGTCATCGTGTCGACTAGGTGACTTGTAGGTCGAAGCAGTTTTTCAAGCGACTCTAAGAATTTAAAGTGATTTGCCATATCCGTCCCCAATATCGCCGTGATAATCACTTTACGAACGTAGCTATAATCAACAGGGGACAAATCCTGCAAAATGTTAGCGTTTTTTTCCTTTGAGATTAAGCGAAAAGTCGTGTACGCATGGTGGTGCTCAAGCACGGATTCGTCGCTGTAAAGCATTGCTAATTGAGAACCCGACTTAACTTCAAAGTCATTCGTATGGCCTGGGTGATCGACGTCATGACCAAGCGACGCAACAAGGCAGGCAGCAATATCTATTGGCTGCAGTAGCTGACCTGCATCTGTTGTGCTGAGGAGAAGATACGATGCATGGACAACAGAGAAGGCGTGCAAGAAATTGTGGAACGGGTTTGGATGGTAGTGTTCTTTCATCGCCACAATAAAATTTTGCAGACGGTGCTTGGTCGTCTTTAGCACTTCGTCCACCTTAAAATCCAGGTACATCTCTTCTAAAAGCTTTGGAAGAGCAGCTGGGTTCATGGAAAATACATTAAAATCCAAAGACGGAAACCGCGATCCCGGTGGGGCACTAAACGATAGTCTAGAAGGAATATTTGCGTCACTGCCTACAAATTCATAACCCAATCGCCCCGAATTGACGTTTTTGCTTCCAATGATGTTGTCCACACATTGCTTGATTGTTTCAGTGTGATCATTTGGGTCAACAATGGAATTTCCGGAAGCAGTCTCAGCTGGCATTTTCTCTCGTTCGGCTGTAGCTGCGCACTCGAGACAGCCCGCTACATGCCGATCACTTGGCACGAACGCATTTCGAAGACAAGCTTCCGGATGTGCACGAGTTGCCGATGCATAGCTCGTGTAACACTCGAGCAAATTAACCTGACTACGAGCACGCTTCGCCAGCACCTGCTCTGCTCGTGTGTCGGCCAATAACTTGATATACTCGATTTCGCTACAACGTCGACGTAAAATGACTGCAACTTCACAGGCAAACGCTTCAAGTGCACATTCGTCGTCAAATGTGAATCCTTGACAGCAAGATGTAGATGCCCCTGCAGACACTCGTTCCTCTACCTTGTTGATAATTTCCAGCACCGCAATGGGTCGATTACTTAACTTCTCTATCGACTGTGATGATTCTTGAATGCCCACAGGAACATACAACACGCATCGCGTGTGAATACCTCGACGCTCATCAATCCTCCAGTTGTATCGACGATCAAATTTCGGATTTCGAACATTGAGCGTCTGCTGCGTTGTGGCTGCAAGGCCCAACATGCTCGCTTGAAGAGGAACACGAAGGGTCTCGTCATTATAACTTGACGATAAGGACCACAGCTCGTCCGTCTCCCAGTCAATCATGAATAATGTCACACGCTCTGCATTGGTTATATGACAAGCTCCGTCAATGACACCGTCTACGAGATTCAGCACTGTATCCTTGGTATCCGACGAACTTATAATGTGAAGAAATGCCTTCTGCGTCCGCTCGGACAGCAGCACGTCATGATATTCGATGCATTTTCTCATGCAAGAACTCAAAATTGGTCCGAGCCATGTCAGCAGCTTTAAATAGAGATCTTCCATTGGACGCTGCGTCGGGTACACATTCGTGGCTTCAATTATTGCATAAACCGAATCATGTTCCACCAACGGTACACTAAACAGTTTCTGTCCAGAAAATTCCTGAGCTAAATCAATTTGAGGATCATAGCCTTCTTCTAGACTAAAATCCGCTAGAGATCGTGCTACCCGCGATTTCAATGCCTGACCAACTAAACCTCGTGAAGGAGCCATTCCTGATTGCGTCGGTGCCCCACGCGTGATCCGAGACATATTTTGCGAGTTCTGATCGACGAGAAAGACAGCAGCCGCTGCGGCACCAAGATCATCCAATAAAAAGTCGAGTAGCAAACGAATCATCAGCACCACATCATTAAGCTCCAAGATCCGCTGCACCAGTTCCCAAAACAATCGGTGCTTCTGGTCAACCAGGTAGCGTCCGTCGTAGTCTGAGAAATCTTCGGATCTTGACACGGTACCTGCACAGGACATGAACCAGGCGACCAAACGATTTACAAACGAAGACATGCTTGACGCAGTCAAAGCTAACCTCCTATCTGTTTCGCCATGGGAGCTTATCCCCGTTGTTTCGTGCGTCAAGTTGGAGCTTGCACTACTCTCAAAACTATTCCTTCGCCTTCGTCGGCCTAATATTCGCTCGAATTTCTCGTTGTCAGCATCACTATCTTGAGACGACGATACTGTTCGGCCCGACAACGAATGCTGTCTTCCTGGAGAAATCTGAACGGGTGGTAGAGACGGCGGATGATGCAGAGCGGTTGTAGTGGTGTTGCTTCTGCAATTGCTAAAAACGTGGCCCATGTCCTTATCTCTGGCCGGGTTCATGTATCTACTAGATTAGTGCCACCCTGTTCCTCGTCGCTTCGTCTCCAATCGGTTTCTTTTTTCAGTGAGGTGCCTCACTCCACTTCAATTGTCGTGCCGGCGTGTCGCGGGTATCCAGTAGAATAATGGAAAAAGGAATACTCCGCTCTCACGCTCATAAAGTGGGTTGTCCCCGTCGCCAACTCACAGCGATACAATTTGGATTGATATGGAAAATGATGGAGGGAACGCAGGTAGGGCGTCGCATGTGCCTTGAACATGCGATTTGTAGGAGTGCTAAATTAGGTAATTGTCACAATAATGACAAAAATGTCTATGCGAGTGTACTCTCCCACACTGGTGGACACTGGATGTGCCTTCGCGCTTGAAAAGTGGTAGATTGAGACACTGATCCAAAAAGGACATTAATGTATGTTGTCACAACCGACTATTTAGTTTCGTGATGTCGCTTCGAATCCTAAAAAACCAGTCGCCTACAAAAGTTTCATACATTCATTATCTCTGAATCTTTCACATATCACATATCTCGTAGCCATTCTGAGACGTCAACACCGCCCTTTCCAGGTCCAAAAAATAGAGCGACGTCAAATATAATTTTCTCCTCGTCAAGAAAGTCTAGCATTCTTAGTGTGGACACCGATTACAAATGTCATGTCGTAATCCTTGTTTGAATGTCGGCGTAGTTGAAAACTCTATTATATAATTTTTACGAATGTTATTAGGTGTTCAATTCATTAACGTGATAGAGTTGAGGGCGAAAGAAAGCAGAACCATCGGGACGATTTACTCGTCACTGCCGTATCGCAGCAATAGACGAAACTGCCATTGCGCTCAAAACCGCAAATACTTTAAGAGCAAGATGGCGGTTGTGGCCGGCGACGGAAGAAACTCCATGAAGTCACCTTTCCAGCGGCAAGAGTGGTCGTAAATAAATTGCATGCTCTTGAGCAGCGATGGATGCAGACTTTCCGGCTCGTTTTCATAGAGCCACATGACAGTGGCCCAGATCACTATAGCTAGCACGGGGTACACTTGCATGAAGCGGTGCTGTGCAAAAGGATGATAGCCCTTGGATGCCAATGCGCGTGCCGAGCTTATAAGCACGCGTGACATTAAGTAC